CAGAGGATGAGATGGTTGGATGGCATCACTGACATCAATGGACATGAGTCTCAGTAAACTCCAGGAGCTGGTGATGGACAGGGAGGCCTGGCGTGCTGCAGTCCATGGGGTCACTAAGAGTCACATACAACTTAGTAACTGAACTGAAGGAAAATTTCTTTTTTTATAAGAGGATACAGCTCTATTTCATTCATGGGGAAAAGAATTTTTTTTATAAAGAAACCAAGAAAGTTCAATACCAGGTCTAAATATCTTTTCTCCTTATGTGACTCCACATAAGATGGATCCTGAAGTAATAAGACTACCCGTTGAGCCACCACACCGAACAAGCTAGGGCTGGTATTGCAGACTTGGAGTGAACTTTTCTCCATTCCAGCTAGTTCGTGTAGCAACTGCCACATTATTTTAAGATACTCAAAATTTTCATGTTCTCCCCTACCATTTTGGTGCATACCTGCAGGAGCTTCTCCTGATCTTCTACTCTTTCTTAATCTTATCCTAAACCCCACTACATAATCCAACTAAGCATTATCCATACATACACTTGCAGGCTTCTTCTAAAGGCACCTGGTTAGTGTTTGCCAGTCAATACAAAATGAACCACTCACATCAATTCGAGAGATCCATGAAGCTGAAAGTCGTACTGGAGTATTCACTAGTTAGGGCAAGAGTAATGGTACAGTTGAGACAAAACTAATTCGCTCAAAGGCTTTAAGGGACTTATTTTCCAGTGTCACTTTTGCTGTAATGCACAACTGCCCCAAATAATGCAGGAATCAAAAATTTCCAAAGGGAATGAAGCTAATGATATACCAACTCTACACATAGAATACTCTGCAGTAACATGCATCTGCCATCTACCACTGCCCCCACCCCTGCCCCCAGTTAATGGAATACTCTGCCAACATGTAATTCTTCTTGAATACTTGTTTTTTTCATTCTATTATAAAACTATTTAAGTTTATAAAATGGCCGATTCATGTTGATGTATGGCAAAAACCATCACAATACTGTAATTATCCTCCAATTAAAATAATTAAAAAAATAAAATTTTTTAAAAATGGTGAAGCCTTTTATTTAAAATAGCAAAATGCTATATATATATATACATAATATTGTAAAACAATTATCCTCTAATTAAAAGTAAATTTAATCATCAAAAAATGTATTGTCTTAACCTCACAATTGCTCCCTTATGCCCACAATGCACCAACCAACAATCCTTGAAAGTTCTACCTGCAAATCTCTAATCAGATCCACGCCCTCCATTTCCACCTACACTGCCTTGGTTCCAGCTCCCATCTCCCACATCAACTACTCTAATAGCCTCAAATCAAAAGGTCCTACTATTCTACCCGACCAACTTCAAACCTCTCCTCCTCTGTGAATATTCCCCAGCTCCCCAGAGTGGGGAGATTCAGTAACTCCAATTTGCTTCACCCAGTAGCTCTTAGTACACACCAGTCTCATAATACTGATTATACTCTACTGCAATGACATCAAATAAAAATACACAAGCCACAGGCATAAGTTTAAATGCCCCAGTAGTGTCATTAAAAAGGCAAAAAGAAATTGCCACCTAGATGCCCATCAGCAGACGAATGGATAAGGAAGCTGTGGTACATATACACCATGGAATATTACTCAGCCATTAAAAAGAATTCACTTGAATCAGTTCTAATGAGATGGATGAAACTGGAGCCCATTATACAGAGTGAAGTAAGCCAGAAAGATAAACACCAATGCAGTATACTAACACATATATACGGAATTTAAAAAGATGGAAATGATAACCCAATATGCAAAACAGAAAAAGACACACAGATGTATAGAACAGACTTTTGGACTCTGTGGGAGAAGGCGAGGGTGGGATGTTTCAAGAGAACAGCACTGAAACAAGTATACTATCCAGGGTGAAACAGATCACCAGCCAAGGTTGGATGCATGAGACAAGTGCTCAGGGCTGGTGCACTGGGAAGACCCAGAGGGATGGGATGGGGAGGGAGGCGGGAGGGGGGATCGGGATGGAGAACACATGTAAATCCATGGCTGATTCATGTCAATGTATGGCAAAAACCACTACAATATTGTAAAGTAATTAGCCTCCAACAAATAAAAATAAATGAAAATAAATAAATAAATAAAAAGGCAAAAAGAAATTGGTAATTTTTAACAATGTATTTTACTTAACCAGATACATCCAAAATATTATCATGTCAACATGTAATAAATACAAAAAGCAAGATATTCTATAATTTTTCATATTAGTTCTTTGAAATCCAATGTATGTTTTCCCTTTACAGCATATTTTAGACACTAAGTTGTTATTAAAAATAGTTGATCTGTATTTAGTTGTCATAAAAGTTACAACTGAAAAAAGTAGATTCACATACCCAATTTGTTCCAAATGAACTTGAGAGTTTCATAACAACTGCATCAAATATCTAGTTTATATTTTAAGTTAAAATTAACATTCAAAAATCAGTTCCTCAGTCACACTAGTGGCTAGTGGCTATGAGGTTGGACAGTGTAGCTCTATGGTAATTATTTGCATATACATTTGTCTTTCCCACTAAATCAGACCGTATCTAATTTACCTGTATCCTCCTCAAGCACAGGCTTGGCACATACACAGTGTTTTGTGAAAGTCTGTTGACTAGACAAAGAAAAACAGACATGGAAATCACCTGACTATAGCAACAGTAAATCAAGAAAATCTTTTGTAAGGAATATGAATGGCGGTTTTATGAATATACACACACATACAAGCACAGGCTTGTATTAAAAATAATTAAGACTAAGTACATTTGAAACTGGTGCAGCCACTATGGAGAACAGTATGAAGGTTCCTCAAAAAACTAAAAATAAAGTTGCCATATGATCCAGCAATTCAGTTCCTGGGCATATATCCAAATGAACTATAATTCAAAACGATACATGCACCCCAATGTTCATTGCAGCACTATTTACAACAGCCAAGATATAGAAAAAGTGTAAACGTCTATCAAAAGATGAATGGATAAAGAAGTCGTGGTACATATAGACAATGGAATGCTACTCAGCCAGAGATTGAAATAATGCCATTTGTAGCAACACGGACAGACCCAGAGATTATCATACTAACTGAAGTAAGTCAGAAAGAAAAAGATAAATATCATATGGTAGCACTTAAACACGTGGACTCTAAAATATGACACAAATGAACTTATCTGTGAAATAGAAAGACTCACAGCACTTATCTATGAAATAGAAAGACTCATAGAAAGTTTGTCTGGAGAAGAGACTTGTGGTTGCCAGGCATGGGGATGGGGAGGGAAGGAGCACTGGATAAGGAGTTTGGGATTAGCAGGTGCAAACCCTTATACACGGAATGGATAAACAAGGTCCTACCGTACAGCACAGGGAACTATATTCAATACCCTACAATAAGTCATAATGGAAAATAAAAAAATAGGAATAGAATGCATACAAAGGAAAAAAGGTTAAGTACATTTGATTTGTTACTGATTCCTCCGTAACAAAAATCACTTCATATATACAATTCCCCCTTCTGGGCCCTCATGCCTTTTCCTCCTCCCTTTAAAGCATTCATGGGTATTGTACACAATTAGCACTTCATAACAGCTTTGACATTCACTAGTTGCCTTCTCTATGTCTTGCCTTCTCAAATTATATTTCAAACTTCTGGAGATCTAGATCACTCCTTGTACTTTGTAACTATCCTCACCCATGGTTGAATAGCAATAACAAAGTACAAGAATTTAATATATGACATATAATCAATTTTCAGATGCTTTCCTTTTCAGTAAAGTCTTTCCCAATCAATCCTAGAAGCCCAGCCTCTCGGCACTCACATTCATGTCACTGTCTCTGGATACCTGGGACCTGGGACCCACCACATAACCAGTTTTTCTCTGGGTTTTGCATGCTCAATTGCCCTTCTTCCCCAAGGAGATGGGGTGCAATTTCCAGTCTACGTCACAATACCTTCATTACCTAGTTGCAGTGCTCTCACTACAGACCGTTCTGTAGGTGCTACCTCCTGTTCCCATTTGCCACCTCCATCTCCCTCTATCAGCCATGGATGCAGCCAAGTGACAGAACAGAATTCTGTAAGGATAGAGGCCACCCTGGTGGCTCAATCAGTAAAGAATCCATCAACAATGCAGGACACCGCCTGCAATGCAGGGGACCAGGTTGCATCCCTGGATTTGGAAGATCCCCTGGAGAAGGAAATGGCAACCCACTCCAGTATTCTTGCCTGGAAAATTCAATGGACGGAGGAGTCTGGCGTGTTACAGTCCATGGGATGGCAAGAGTTGGACACAACTGAGCGACTAAACCACATAAACCATAGAGAGCAGTTTGGCTTTGTTAGACACATCGCCTGGGCTTCCCCGGTAGCTCACCTGGTGGAGAACCCACCTGCAGTGCAGAAAACCCCAGTTCCATGCCTGGATCGGGATGATCCACTGGAGAAGGGATAGGTTACCCACTCCAGTATTCCTGGGCTTCCCCGGTGGCTCAGGTGATAAAGAATCCGCCTGCAATGTGGCAGACCTGGGTTCAATCCCTGGGTTGGAAAGATTCCCTGGAGAAGGAAACGGCTTCTACCCACTCCAGTATTCTGGCCTAGAGAATTCCATGGACTGTATAGCCCATGGGTCACAAAGAGTTGGACACAGCTGAGCTACTTTCACTTTCACTTTTCAGATGCATCGCCTACTGAAAAGACTGGTGGTGTGGGCATGCGCAGTTGTGTCTGATTGTTTGTGACCCCATTGACTGTAGCCCCCCAGACTCCTCTGTCTATAGGATTTCCCAGGCCAGAATACTGGAGTGGGTTGCCACTCCCTTGCCCAGGGCATCTTCCCGACCCAGGGATTGAACCCACATCGGCTGCATCTACTTGCATTGGTAGGCAAATTCTTTACCACTGCGCCACCACCGGGGAAGTTCACTGACAACCCTATAAATCAATGCACACACATACATTTCCATAAAGGGGATTACAACAGGTTTATCTTTTAATTTCATGTTACTTGAGCAAGAAAAAAATAAAAATAAATGTAAAGAGGTCTGGGTGGATCAGTCATGGGGCTCCTCTAAGTCTGCGCTCTTTGTCTTCTGCTTGGATAGCTCTTTGATAGCGTTCAGCTCTGCAGGAGTGAACTTGGGGGTTAGCACCACTGCATCGTAATCGAATTCTTCATCAAGCGAGAAGGGCTGAACTTCATCTCCAACGATCTATAAAAGGTAACGAAGGCGGAAAATCATATATAATCATTGTAAATGAAGATAAAGCTGAAAACATAAACTCCCTATTAATATTTAATTAAACTTTTTTTAGACTTCAGCACTCTCAGCTGATTAAGCTGTTTTTAAGTAAAGGAATAAATTCAATTATTCAATTTGACCTAATTTAGGCCTTTTAATATGCCCCATTTGTACCATCCTGCATCGGAATGAATATCATTAGCTAATTCCACCCACGGCAAGAATCAGAAAGTCTCTCCTGCATACATTCAATACATTTTTACCATTTGTAGCATAAGGGCTACAGGCATATGGAAAAACTAAGTCTGCTGTTGTTCAGAGGCTAAGTCCTGTCTGCCTCAGGGTCTTTTCCGATGAGTTGGCTCTTCACATCAGGGGGCCAAAGTATCTGAGCTTCAGTTTCAGCATCAGTCCTTCCAATGAATATTCAGGGTTGATTTTCCTTAGGATGGACTGGTTTGATCTCCTTGCAGTCCAAGGGACTCAAGAGTTTTCTCCAACACCACAATTTGAAAGCCTCAGTTCTTCAATGTTCAGCCTTCTTTGTGGTCCAGCTATCACATCCATACATAACTACTGGAAAAACCATAGCTTTGACTCTATACAGACCTTTGTTGGTAAAATGATGTCTCTGCATTTTAAGAGTTATATTCAAATGTGAGAAAATAAACCCTAAGATTTTGTTCAATCTTAAAGACATTCTTATTTTTAGTATTTACTAAAAAAGGCTTGTATCAAAAAAAAAAAAAACACATTCATTTTTGAAGATAAAAATACTCTATGCTTAACATACTTCTTTAGATAGTACTTGGGCCAATAACAGCAGGAATTAAAACACATAGTGTCCCCCTTAAATTAAAAAAATCCAGGATCCTTTCTTTCCACCAAGAATTTTAAAATATTACAGAATTTATTTGCAACTCAGAGTAGCTACAAAGAGGAATAATAATTTTGTACCTGCTTATTCATAATCTGTGAATTTTAAAAGACTCCCTAAAGGAAGGTAGTTTAAAAAGTGTATTTTCCAATAAACAAAAGAGAATGCTTTAAATCTCATTGTATCACCCCTTAGAAAGCCTCTCCAAAATCAAATGGTGTGTGATACAATGAGATCACCCAGTACTTCTTTGTATCTCTATATTATGTATGATGATGCTGAAATAATTGAAAACTATGGCTTATGCAAGAGTAAAAAAACGCCCTGAAGCTATAAGCAGCTTGAAATATTCTTGCATGGAAAATGGTCTCATCGAGTGGCTTTCGCAATGTTCCTGAAAATGGAGCATCTCACTCAGAAGCTGTGTGCTGTTTTCAAAGATGTGAAAAAAAAGAAAAAAACATGAAAAGTAGGTACCTCCTATCTGTTTAGCAAGTTGCATTTTGTAGTTGGATGTGCAGTGCTAATAGCAAACACCGAGCCATCTATCATCCTTTCTTAGTAAAACCAGCAAGAGAACAAATTTCAGAGACTTGTTCATTTCCTCTTTATTAGAAAGTGTCTGTGCTTTCCTGACAAAGGTAATGATGGCACCTGTGACTGACTGAGTTCCCACCACACACCAGCCCCAGTACTAGGAACTTTGTGGGAATTACCGGTAACCTTCAAACAACCCATCTTACAAAGCTCTAAGAGGTTAAGTAACTTACCCCAGGCTGTACAATTAGTAAGGTAGAGAAGCAAGATTTGAATCCCAGGTGATCTGTAGATAAAGCTTCCACCTTCTCAACAAAAAAACCAGCAAAAATCAACCTTAAAGTTTCACTAAGCCAAATCACGTCTCTTTGGGAGAAAAGATCTTTTCTAAATAAGCTAAAAAATTCACCCAGTCTACCATTAAAAAATGCACTCAAGGATCCACATAATACCATGACTGTCTTTAAAGGAGCAAGTGTATACAGGAATCAAATCAGTCTGCAGAGTGGCTGATCTATCCATTCAGGTCACTTTCTGAAAATTAAATTTCTCATCACTAGTGGGGTAATAGGGCTAAGACCAGCTCAAGTGAAGAAACGTGTACACAATGACACAAAATGCTCATTTCCTGAATAGAAACATCCTCACCATCTCCAGCTCTATCCGGCAGTGAGCACTGAGGCCTGCAAGCCTGGTCCTGGTAGAGGACGAGGAGGATTCCCCTCTCTGCCTGTGTCTTCTGTCCAATGGGATTCTTGCTGCCCTGTAGCCTGGTTAAAGGCCTGCCATCCACATGTCCACCAAGCTTCCAGCTGCCCACCGCACTAGGACTTTGAACCCTGTCCTGAGGCCTCTAAGACTTGCTTAGACTTCACTAGCCATTATCAATAGATGCAGTCACTCTGCCTTCACCCACCTCCCTCTGAGACAGGAAAGCGGGTTCGAATTCCACAAATCTCTTTGCTGAGCTAAAATCTCAGCAAGATCATACCATCCTTCTCGAACTCACTCACACCACATGAACAGCCCTCACATTCCCACCTCCCTTCCCTTCACGTGTTCACTCCATAAACAGCTATTGAGCGTTTAATGTGAACTGGATACTGGGAACACACACAGATGAAGAAAAGCAAAACCTGTGTCCACGAGGTTTTGTAACTTCAGGGAGAAGACAGAAGTAAGGGAGTGATTTCATGATCGTGCTCCATGCTCCCCAACAGAGGGATGCAAAAAGGGGTACACAAGCATGGAGGGCAAAGTGCTGAAGCTTAGCTTACTTCCAACCGAGCATGGCCATGCTCCAGAAAATCCTACTCGACTCCCCACTCAACACCCTATTCGCGACCCACCCTGTACCAGCAACCCAGACAGAGCAAGGCTGGTGTGCTGAACTTCTAGACTCTCTTGACGAGGGCTGACTCCCACGGTCAAGCTAGTCCTTTCTCCCAGACACCGCCCAGCCCATCACCTTCTCACCACTCTCCCTTCCCCAAGGGTCCCAAGGCACCTTTTGGTCACAACACTCAACATTATGGAACCGGAGATACAGACATTAATCTTTAAGTGGAAAGTTTTTGTTTTCTGTAAGTTCTTCTTCACACACTTAAATTTTTCTCTATTATAGAGCACAATTTCCTTCATCAGTTATTTGGTTTTAACTTAAACGGCGCCAAGGAATAAGTTTTTAGCTAGCCAATAAATATATGATGCCAATGCAAGAATTATTCATTTACAGTATGCTTAAAAACATAAAAAATACGTAAAAATACAAATGTCTTCACTTAGAAATTCAGTTATTAACAGCAGCTCTTATTGTTAGATTAATTCCTTTAGGCAATCAGTTAAACGCTGACGTAGATAATAAGAGAAAGAAACCAAGGGTGATAATAATTTCTTACTTGCAATGCCAAAATATGATACTCAAGACATTTTAAAACTGGGTGTATCACTGTCACTCTGTACTGCAAGGTGGCCAGTACATCTCTGGATCAAAATGTCAGAGGAAGAGTCTCCTGCCATCATTTAGATATATTCCATTCTTCTCACAAATGTTTATTAAAATCCAGGTGCTACACTGGGTGCTGAGGATACAAAACTGCAGACTCATATGGAATCACAGAGAAATGATTTAGATACATATATGAACAATTATAGTAAAGTGTAGTAAGTATACATGGTATAGTTAGGAGGGAATAGGAAAGAGAAGGAAAGCCTAACCCAGCCTAGATTAGAAGGCCTTGGGAAGGAATCAGGGGAGGCTTCCTGGAAGAGGTGCTATCTAAGCAGAATCTTCAAAGGTAATATTATTTAACAAAGTTGAGGGAAAAAGAGCTAAGGACAAAAGCAGGTCTCATGAGCAGAGGAGGCCAAGTAAGAAAGACACAGAATTTCACGTATGTAAATCTGCAAGTAGTTCAGTGCTGTCAAAGCAGAAAATGTCAGGTAGAGGGCAGCAGGAGATGAGGATGGTGGCAGGAGATGAGGATGGTGGCAGATCACGACAGGTCTTGTATGCCATTTTTCCCAGAGGTGAGGAAAAGTCGCTGAAGGATTTTTTTTTTTTTAAAGCATGTAGATACTTGGTCATCTATACATTTCAAATAAATTCCTCCCTTCATTCAAATGCTAACTGAGACAAGTGCTGGAGACACAGGCGCGGTGCAGAGAATAGGACGCCCTGCCCTCTCCGAGGGTACATCAAGATAAGTCACTCTGAAGATGGAACAAAGGGTAGGCTTGGAGTCAGGAGCTGGCGGAAGCAGTCCAGACAAGAGACACTGAGCCCAGGGCACTGAGAGCAGACCCTGGAAAATGTCAGAAAAACTGGCAGCACTTGCTGGCTAATTTGGACACCGGAAGGCACGAAGGGCAAGAATGCAGGAGTGGAAGCAGGTATAGATAAGCTCAGTATTTAACATGCTGATTCAAACATTCCTTAGGGAATCCAGATAGAACGGTCAACAGGCAGCTGAGCACACAAACCTGGGGCTCAGCAAAAGTCTGAAGCTCTCGAGATACAGGTTTGGAGACAGAAGCACGCAGGGAGCCACCTAGAGATGAAAACGGACCCCTGTGTGCACGTGGGGAGAGCTGCAGGTTTAGCATGGGACCTGAGGAACGCCAACTCCTGAGGGGAGCTCGGCGGGAAGCCCCCGAAGGAAGCGGGCAAGAACACCCAGACAGATACACGGGAGAGAAAGCCAGTGGGCTGCGAGCGTCAGGCAAGATCAGCGGCGATCACTGCAGCAGAGAGGCCCATTAAAGACAGAAAACTGTCCACTGGCATTCAGCACTAATAAAGTGCTCGGTCCCTCTATTCTGAATACGTCCAGGCAGATGATCAGCACGGGGACATTTTGCAATGAACTGAACGAGGAATGAGGGGAAAGGAAGCAGAGACAAATAGGGGAGCTAGATCTAATGGTTTCTGAAATCTACACGGAAAGTGAGAAAAAAGGACAATAGCCAAGAGGGGTCCAAGGGAAAGGGGAGGCTATTTTTCCTTAGTTTTCTTTCATTTTGTTAAGAAAGGGAGAGTCTTAGACATATTTACATGTTGAGGGGAATGAACCAATAGAAGAGGAAAAAGAGAATGACCCTAACCATCTTATTATACCAGAAAGTCACTCCTGGTAGCTAGCAAAAGTTTTTTTGATTATTTGCTCATTCAGTATTTACTATGTCTTCTATAGGCATAGCACTGAATTCAGCACAAGTCCTGACTTTTTTGTATTTCAATTAAGTAACCTTATAGAGACACACACAAGTGAATGTAGAGTCTTCTAAGACAAGGGGCATACGTATAATTCAAAGTGATCCCTAATGTACCCTGCAGTTCAGAAGACTTCGCTATGATCTTCAAAATGACAGCTTTTCAGCCACAGGAAAGCTGCAGTTCTAGTTATGCATTTCAGCTGTTGGCTACTGTGGCACACTTTGGGAATTCTCTTCTTTCAAGTTGGGTTCATTTTCGGGTTCTAAGCTATAAGGCTCCGAGGTTTTTAGATTGCAAACTGAACTTCTGATTTATTTCAAAGAGCAGAATTTGTGCAATGGGACACCAAATCCCCTGCTACTAAACAGAAAACAACTGTGAATTAAGTTATTAACTTGTTATTTTTGCCTAAGGAGCTGAGAGAAATGTACGGATTTCAGGTGTCTAATTTCAAATCTAATTGAAATCTTTTTGTAGCCTCCCAGGGAATAGAATTTGTACACTATTAGAAAACTGCTGGTTTTCTTAAAATAGTTTTTGTGACTTATTCTAAGAGGGGCACTGTTACAGGAAGAATCATTTTCATTCACAGTACCACATAGGCAAATAAAAAAAAAAAAAACAAAGCCCAAAACAAAAAAAACAATTAACCAAAAGCCGGCCTGCAAAAGAAAAAGGGTAACTAAACTGTCTTTACAGGTGAAAAAGTTGAGAGTCCTATTTTGAATTGGAAAAACAGGCCATCTCCCATTAAAATATTACAAAAGTTTCTTCAATGACCTCTTCTGTACTTTGGGAAGTAGGAAAGGAACTCGTAATTTTTCATCTTCTTAATGTGAATTCTTTTTGTTCTATAAAGCTGTCCAGAACGTCTAAAATTCATCAAAATAGAGTGACCACAGCAAAAATTATTCACAAAGGGAAAGTGGAAGGTTCTTGAAAAATGTTTGACTGTAAGGGGGAAATGCACATGTATAAAAGCAGTGATAAAATTAGCAAAAAAAAACTAAATGGGTTCAGTTCATATCAAGAAGTTATAGATTCTTATTAGGCAATTAAGAGGAAGTCAGGACATCCAGGATACATTTTCATCTTTTGAGACTGACATCACAGAAAGCAACCACTGTGTCAAGCCCAAAACAACCCCTTGGTAGCTCCTCACCAGATACATGTGCTGGAATTTGGTGATTCTGTTCTTTTTCTTGCACTGGGTACTTTAGAATAAGATTAATACTATTAAACCAAGGCAGAGGTGGTGCAGTACTATGATTCTAGACAGTCCTGAAATGTTTCTCTAACAAATAGTGGCTAGAAATTAAAATCTCACCCACAATACTACTCTGAATATTTAAAGAAACACCAAAAATTATTCATCTATGTCTCATTAGTTTGCCAACACGAAAATTGTTCTATCATTTTGATTTGAACATTTAAAATATTTCACATTTTCTGAGAAGAAACTTATACTCGTTTTAAAGATACAATCATATATAGGCTTTTAACTAGCATTTTGCTGGCTATATGAGAGATCATAGAAATCATTCATTTTTTTAAACCCATTCACTAAAGCCATTTTGTAACAATTTCTATAATGGCATGAGGTGCCACTGACCACTGGCTGGCCCAACAATTTGTATGGTCACAAGTGAAGTCTTTAAAAGAAGCTGATTCTTGCTAGCAATCACCTTGGAATTTTAGCTTATTAATACTCAGAGAAAGCTCCATAATTCAAAAAGACACTGAAAAGTGGCTGTCTGGACCCCATGGACTGTAGCCCAGCAGGCTCCTTTGTCCATGGGATTCTCCAGGCAAGAATACTGGAGTGGGTTGCCATTTCCTTCTCCAAGTAACCTACTTGGGGGTTCAATATAAGTCTGCAAGCCTCCTAGATAGACTTTTCTGATGTCAGTGAACAAAAGTTCTATTAGCAAAGGGCAAAAATTGAAATGTGTGGATTACTTCTGATTGAATGACTGCTTCCATAACAGAATATCTTCAGGTGACAAGACTGGTACCTGAACGATTAAATAATCAGGAAACACTCTAGTATTTTTATTTGGAATCAATAATAAAGAGCCCTTAACAACTTCTTGTGCCTGATCCCCTTTTATGCTAGGGTAAAAAAGGTGATAAAGGTCACTACCCAGCACCATCAGCGGCCTCGGTTGGTGCGTGTCTATTAAGTAAATGAAGATGAGCTGGAAATGATAGTAAAAGACGACTCTCCATGTTGTGTATTAGGGAGAATTAACATGTGGCACATCCCATTCTCCCATGCTGGAGAAGCACGTGGCTAGATGACATTTCTCAACTCCCCTGGTGACCAGATAGGAACATGGAATCAAGTGGTTGCCAATGGAAAGTGAGCAGCAATGAAGAGCCTGAGTCTTCAGCCTTGGGGAAACGCGCTGTCCCCATCTTCTCATTTCCTGCCCCTCCAGGTACGACAGTGACCTGACTTGAAACATGCAGCTGAACACAATGTCCTGAGGTGCAGTGAGATCCAGAGAGAAGGAACCTGGTGGGCCCCAATGACTGAAAACAGATCTACCACTTGCTCACTTTAAAGACTCTATAGACTGTTACAGGAGAGAAATAAACTACTCTCTCCTTTCAGCCATTGAATTATTGTTAGGGTTCCCTAGTATAGCAGCCTGGCCTTACCTTAACTAATGCAAAATGTTTACAGAAACTTGGAAACAATAATAAAGAGAAAAGAGGCTGGTACAGAAAAAAAAAGAGATAAGAAATCTGTCCATCCTATCTGTGGATTAGTCCCCAGGTAGCACCATCCTGCAGCATGGCAAACATCATGACAGAAACGTAAAAACATAACTGTTCTCTGTGTGTTCAAAAGGGAGTATACACATTAGAGAGAGATGACAGCGAGAGGGACCCAATTAAGCAACCTGAATTCTACATTTTCCCAGACCTGAGAAAAATACAGGCGCACAGAGGTATGGTGGCATTTCTTTGAAAGGACCAGTTATAGAGTCAAGGCAATTTCAAGAGGCCTGAATTCCCTGAGAAGTACCTCTTCCCTTTGTTTGTCTGCTCCTTTCACGGTGGGCCCGGGCTTCGTTCCAGGGGTGAGAGGCTGGCCGGCCACAGAAGGAATGTAAGAGGGAACACTCAAGCTCACTTCCTGCTCCACTTGTCCTGGAAGCAGCAGCACGTCTGTTGAACACAAAATACATCATTCGATCCCTTCACCGGTCCACAATCGACCTAAATCATCAAAAAGCCTACGATAGTCAAAAGAATGAGCAAATATGCTCAAGTAAAGTAGGCCCATTTCACAACACCTGTTCTCACTGGGGAACTTGACTCAAGGGTGTCTCCCTTCTAGAAAATAAAAGCTGTTGGTGTATTAGTTTTTCTCTGATTGTTGCTATGTTAACAATCCATCCAAAAGGTCTGGGAGAAATGTTGTCTGGGGAACAGCTTGATCATGCCTTTCAACCCAACTTCTACTTCTATAGGAAACTAAGTTCAAAAGATGTTACTTTTGCCTCATTTTGCCATATTTTCCTAAGGGGGGTATAGAGAAAGAAAATGGAGTGCTGATTTCATCCTGTAACAATATGGCAATATTTCAAAACAACATATTAAAAAACAATGATGCCAGAAGGAAGGAACTTTCACTTGCAGCAGAAAAATGAAATAATCCGTCATACTCAGAATGCGTGGCCTCATTTCCAACTCTTGCAAACAACAACAATGTGTTTTGTGTTTCCAGCTTGTTTAGCACAACAGCAAGAATTCAAAAGCCAATCCTGGTTTTCTGATCAATCCATTAGAAGTAGATGTGTTCCCCCCCCCCTTTTTTTTTTTTGCACATGTGGCAGATTCATGGATGCATCATGGACAAATGATGATCTTCCACAGCTCTCTCTGAAGACAGAAAAACAAATAGAAGCCCAAAAGGATTGCTCCTTGGCCTGTTTCTGCAGGACCAGAAGGGCTGCTGGAGCCAGCCAGTAACTTGCAGCTGGCACGGGATGCTGCGGTCTGCTACTCAATGATGATCCTAATTAAGACACTAATTAAGTTCTCAGTGGAAGTGATTAATTAACAACAGGCATGCCTTGGCTGTTGCCAATGGCAGCATATATGAGGTGATAACTGAGCAGGTACTGCTATTCAAAAACTGAAACAGATTTGAAAGACATCTCTCTCCACCGCAGATACCACCTGGAAGCTTAAGAATTTTGTAATCATGTCTTTTTTGATCCCTGAGTGAGGAAGATCCCCTGGAGGAGGAAATGGCAACCCACTGCAGTACCCTTGCCGGGAAGATCCCATGGACAGAGGAACCTGGCAGGCTACAGTCCATGGGGTTGCACAGACTCAGACACAAGTTAGAGACTGAGCGTGCATGCATGACTATGATTAATTACTGAACTCATAGAATGTGACCTGATTAATTAGGGGAAATAAAAACAATAATAATAGCCAGCCTTTTACATGCATTAACTCAGCTAATCCTCTCAACAACTCCATTATCTTCTGTTTTACAGGCAAGGAGCTTTAACACCCAGAATCACCACACTCAAGTCACCACAGCTGCAGTCTGGCTGCAGTGCCCTGTTCTGAGCCCAAGACGTCACATCAGAAACTGATTTTTAAGAAAGCATTTCATCACTTATGTTATTGAAACCTACCAGATTTGTATATCCAAACTCAGGGCCAAGAAGTGTCACTATGGTAAGCAGTTAACGTGATTAGTCAGCAGTCAGTGTGTTCACGTGTTTTATAACCAGAGAAGTAATACTTTTAAATACTCAATAACGTTGGTGGAGAGACTGGCTTTCCTTTTATGAGTCCAAAGCTAAATTCCTTCACTGGCTAGGGGCCAGCCAACAACAGAGGCAAGGAGAGTAAGGGTCAAGCCTCTTAATATGAAAACCAATATCCACCAGACCCATTGGCTGCCAGAGCAAACATCACTTCAAATGTGAAATCAAAATCAATTCTGCTTTCAGAGCTATTTAAGATCCAACTGAAAATATCGTGCACCAAGAAGGACAACTCTGCATTCCTTTGCTGAAATTCTTCACCTCACTCATATATTTGCAAAGAAGGTAGGGTTTTCAGCAATAATGGTTTCCTTCCTTAAAAAGCCAAGTGCCATGGGAACAGTTCTTTCGAAACAAGACGACTCAGTATTTACCACATTTCACATTCCTGTCATTTGTTTCTGCAGGGTAAAAGGAAAACACACAAACTTGCATAGTTGTTGGAGTCTAACACAGCACCTTATGTGTAGTAAATTCAACGCATACTTGCAGAAAGGGAATAGATTTCCTGTATCTCGACTTTTAAATTGAACAGCATGTATAAGTCTACCTATCCATAGAACATTGTGAATGATACAAAATATGTAAAGTCCTTAGCCTCAAAAGCTAAGTTTTTTTAACAGGGATATGATTTTTACACATAAAATCAGAGAATAGTCAACACAAAAACTGAAGTGTTTTAACTCTAAATAGGATAGATATATAAAACGGTGAAACCATTATGGACAGGAACAGTCTGATAATAAATAAGTTATAAAGAAAGCTACCTTGTCCTTTAGCCACTTTACAGTCACTGATGGGTTATTTATATATTCATTCTCTGAGAGGGAAAATTATTGTATTCATTGATGATGAGGAATGGAATTTCTGGAGATCTCCGTAAAGCTTTCTACACGGAAATCTGATCTTTAAGACACTTTTGCTGTTGTTGTTTAGTCACTAAGTTGTGTCCACTCTTTGCAACCTATGGACCAGGCTTCCTTGTCCTTTACTATTTCCCAGGGCTTGCTCAATCTAGGCTTACTGTTTCTAAAACAATTAGTTTTTTCTTAACTATTGATCAATACCACCATCTTGACTGATGGACTTTGTTGAGTTAAGGCAACTCTCAAAAAGGAATTTTCATGTTGGATGGCAAGGCTGGTTGAAAGCATTTCAATCTCTTTCTCAACTACATAGTAAGAATGTCCAGTGTTTATAAATTATCTGTTTGTGCCATCTGCCTTTCTGCATTTAAGCAATGACCAGCAAGTCAAAGGTAATACATTTAAAAGTAAGCAATCAAAAAAACAAAAAAATAAGGTAATCTATCTGACATCTGATAATCTAGACAACAATAATACTTAATCTGCCTATCATATTTATAAGATCAACCAATTCATTCCTTTGTTGCCATGTAGAAATAGCCAAAATTTCCTGAAATTTTGGGCACTCCTCAGGACCAAAAAGGATACACATAAGAAATGGACTGAGGCCTCTTATGCACATGGATTCCAGCTATGATAGTTTATGTCTGAGTTTCTTGTTATTAAAAATTTTTGAAGACCCAAAGAGCTTTTTTTTGTGGGAGTTATATCTAACAATATTCATTGTATTAGAAACTGAATTTTCAAATATTTGATTTCAAATTATTAAAATAATACAATCATTATTACAATAAATACTTTTATTTTAAAAAGATATTTTCCAAAAGCAAAGATAACAGAAGAGAAGCATTGTTTTACATTTTCTGAATCTTTTAAGTGCTTGTCTTAAGAAGAAGAAAGCTGGATTCTATATTTGCCTCTGCATTCAATTTTTGGAATATGCTGTTTCACATGATGAAAATGAAGAAATTCTAGTCTCACACGATATATATGTTGGAAAGGGGAGGAGTACTTTGATACTCCTTTTATAAAGTTGGGGATATTCTTTGATACACACTGGATCTTGACAAATGATATTAGTTTTAAAAATATTTTCAATGTGCAACATGAAACCCTTTCAGTCAAGTTTTCATGCTCTTATGTTTAAAATTCATTGGTCTGCCTTTTATGGTAAATGAATCGTTCTCCTGTGCATGATTTTGTAACACCATAAATTGGTTATTTGGAAAATGGTGGTTCACTCTGTTAGGCAGATCTTTCAAATGTTGACATATTTCATTATGCAATATAAAAGTCACATTAGTTAACATTACCAATTTTATCAAAAAAGCCGTTAAATATTGAGAAGCTGTCAAGCTCACAGTACTGGATATAAGTTTTCCAAAAATCCAATTTTCACTTGATCCATTGCCAACTTTATCACTGGCAATGAACACTATCAGTTGTTTGTCTTGAAAAGACAGCTTCACTTCATTCACTTTTGAGAACTACACTTTGTCAGTCATTCTTTCAAGTAAAAATGTTGATCCATGAAAGAAAAAAAAAATTAATTCAGCACAACACTCAACGGCACAAGTGTTTTTCATGAAGAAGTGTTTTTCATTTTTTCTGTGAAAAAATGCTCATGTATTTCATGTATATGTGAAGTACAACTGCTATACTTCAGTATGCAGCAGAAGCACTTTATACAGCAAAACATTAAAAAGAGGCATGCTCAGGGATCAAGACTGAATAAAATTAATAGTTTTTACTACTTCCCTGGTGGCTGAGATGGTAAAGAATCTGCCTGCAATGTGGAAGACAGGGGTTAGATCCCTGGGTCAGGACGATCCCCTGAAGAAGGGAATGGCAACCCACTCCAGTATTCTTACCTGGAGAATTCCATGGACAGAGGAGCCTGGGGGGCTACAGTCCATGTGGTCACAAAGAACTGGACATGTCTGAGCACACCCCACACAAACACCATTTCATCAAAGACATTTTCAATGGAAACTGGCATTTGTTTTAACTACAAACTCATGAGAGTGATGACAACAGGGACTACTTGTATAATTTCGTGCCTCTACCTTGATTCACACTAAGGTACTACTATCTTTACTCATCACTGATTTTGCAACATCAGTGCAAACGTCAACATATCTAACCTTCGGACCTTGGGGTTTCCCAAGGAGCTCCCAGACCACATTTAACATCTGACCCTCGTCAGATAGTCTGAACCTTCCACCAAGAACACTGGAATAGCTGGAAAAGTGATAAAAATCAACTAGTTAAAGGCACTGGAGAGCTACCAGGGAAGTCCAGAACTTGAGGGGCTAAGATCCTGGAGAGAAGGAAAGTGCTGAATGCGAGTCTTAGATTCTAAGCTGTTCTTCAACACATGGCATTTGCTGATTTGTAAGCAGAGGCTAAAAAACCAAGAAGTAAAGAAGAAATAGGCTAAGAAGCTGAGAAGCTTGGCAGAACTACCAACAGATTCACAGTGCTATGAAGACAAAAAACAGTCCATGGGGTT